GCACGCTGTGGGAATATTCGGTCGTTTTCGCGTTGAAATCGAGGAATTTCTAATCGTATTAGGATCGACCAAAAAGGAGCGCGATGAATAAATTTTCACCTTGAGAGAATCGAGTAAACACAGAAATGGAAAATCCTAGATTGAACGAATGAGGTAAATTTGAAGAAGTTATCCCCGAAACAACACCCGTATCCTAAGCATCCAATTCTCAACTTTTCCAAAGCAAACACCCGAAAAAGCTCGAAAGAAGCTTCGACATTATCGGATTAAATGAATAGTCGAAACAAAGGCAGTACCAACAGATACATCGAACAGAAGTTGCAGCCCCTCGTCGGACCCAACCTCGCGAAGAATTCCCGTAATTGGTAGTTCGTTATGGCTAAATAGTGCAAATGAAGCTTTTGAACAGAAACGGTGAAACTTCGCGTGACACAGAAAGTGTTAATTGAGATCGATGTTGCGTTTTCGCTTCGGGGTGGGGGGCGTAGTTGTGTCGGGATTGGATGTCGCCTTCGGAGATACTCGTGTTTCTTCTCACTCGAGTCGCGTATCCTTTACAACGGCGAACAACGATGCATCGTGGTTGACAACCCTTAGTTTGACAAATTCCAACGGGAGCATGTTACGGAACAGAGGGAAAATAAACTAATACCGAAATGTATTTCGATATTAGGCGAAGTTCTCTCGCGTCGCGGAGAGACGAGGGCTTAGAACGGATCTGCGATTTAGGGGCGGGATTCGTGAGCTATCCGCGCTTTATATTCGTTACGCAGGGTGCGGCAAAAATAACGTTCCTTTTTTTTCTAGACCGAGAGGAAGATCGATCGTGTATCGCAGTAGCAAAGACCTTAGAAGAATCGGGCAGTTAACCGTTAAACCTGCGCGCTACCTTTAAAGAGTTCAATTATTTAAAGAATAGACTATCCGACTGACGATTATCGTTATCGTTATTGAATCGTAAACAATTGAAATATCTTCAACGTTATCTTCAAGCGCTCGACAATCGCTTCTGTTTGCGTTCGCCACGCAAGATTCCCGTGGCAATCGACGCGTCGAAGTAATCATGGGGGACGGAATCGTTTAGGTTGGGCCCAAAGTCCGCGAAACGAATTACGCGGTCAGTATTTCACGATTAACGATTAAGAAAACAAACAGCTGCGCGAATTGCGCCGTTCCCCGATGGTTTGTCGCCGTGCCCGGCGGACTGATTCCGAGGAAATCGAATTACATCGCGTGCAAGATTTCAACGGGCCAATTCCAGTGTCGCTCGACCGGGATTCGCGTTGCTTTCGCCGGTGGAAAGCGAGTCGTGGGCCTGCATAAATAAAATTGCGCACTGGGAGAGGAAAGACTAGCAGAAGATGCCAGACACGGATGATGGAAGCGGTTAACGGTAGAAAGAACGCGAGCGAATAGAAACGCGCCAATGGAGAGAGCAACAATGGCGGACGAGCGAAAAAATGGCCGGAGAGGAACCAAAGGGCAGTGAACTTGTAGACTGATTACCGCTTCACTATAACTTCGGTAAGCTTTCGGTGTACGATGATGTTACCAATTCTAATTTTCATATCAAATCCAGTAAAACGACAAGAACCTAATATTTTGCAACGAGAAAAAGCATATCCGCATTATAAGTAAAGTGCGAGTGAATTAATTTGTTTTTAAGCGAATTAACTACTCCCACTAATAAACAAATAGTTTATAAAAATTATATAGAACCTTTGGTTTTGCTTTTTCCCTTTCAGAATGATAAGAGTTAATTTACAAGTCGACGCGAAAGGTTCGGGAAGGGTTGAACGAGGTTCCTCGCAAAAAGTGAGCAACCGATCGGACGGTTCGAGTGATCGGTGACGTGGAACGCCACGAAATTGTATTCGGGCCACGGGGTAACGGGCCGCGTATACGGCTTCCGATTTCCCATGAGGGCTCGACCGAATTCATAACCCAATCTATTCGCGGCACACGGAAAAGGGCCGGCCAATTCGCCGGGGCGGACGATCGGAGAACGGCTCGTTATTATTTCGTGGCAAAAGGGGCGGAAAACACGGAACCAGATCGGTTTAAGAAGAGCCTAGGCACTTCGATCCCGATGCCGGACCGTTTTTCGGGTTTAATCGACCCGAAACGACTCGAGAGAACTCCCCGGCTCCGATTTATTAGATTATTACGCCGGGGTTCGCTTCTTCTTTCTTTCTCTACCGATCTCTCCCTTTCCCGTTAGGAAACATCAGGATTTTCTGTGTCATATTTGTGTTTCACGAGTTCCAATTTCAATGTTTCTTCCGATCAATTTGGTCTTGACTCGTTGGAGCGAACCGTTAAATGAAGAATGCTTCCTATTCTCATCTGTTCGATATTTCAAGTTGTCTCAAGTTTTCAAATATTCAAACTTCTAAATTCTCAAAGTTTCAGTTTAAATTTCGAGATTTTTAAAGTTCAACGCTTTCAAGTTTCCAGGTCCTGAAGCTTTGAAAAGTCGTCCGGCAACTGATAGTTAAATACCTATCGTACCAGAGGACAATTATCGAAACTCTTAGCCGACATATTTCACTAATCAATGCAATCTACCAGAAGTTAATCAAGTTTTATCGACTCAACTTGAGTGCGCCTTTACCTCCAGCTATTCACAAAGCAATTCTAAACTTTTATTCGAGACGCAATATTTACGAGCGAGCGACCAGGCTACTCGGGGCAATTAAATTCTCGTATCTAGAACTGAATAAATTCATTGCGATCAATATCACGCTTCCGACTTGTGCCAGACTCGGCTAGTAAAATATTTTCATATCTTTTAAAAACGACTGGAAACACCTATGTTCCATGAACAACGGAATAAAAAGTAGAAACTGGAACCCGGTCATTTGTAAAGAAAAGAGTCCCGATAAAACTAGAACTATCGAGTAATCGGATTGACTTTCCCCAATTTTTCTACACGAGCTACAAAAATACATTTATTCGTATCTTAATTCACTTATATTTCGAAGAAACGTTTCCGCTCTTCTGATAATCGTAACAAAAGAAATCAGAAATGCGTCACGAGATGCAGTGTCTATCTCATCGGAAAATATGAAGCATTTCTAGTAAAATACTTTCGAAGAGCAAAGGGTTAATTATTTCTTGTTTAAAAACTGAATTAATCTGCAACCGATCCAGTATTTTCATCCAGTTTATGAGAAAATGTGGTGATCGTAACGAAAAGGGTGAAATAAGACAACATAAATCGCTTCTGTTCATTCGAAATCGCGGTAACAGCTCGCCGCGCTATAAATTGTACGTGCGGACCCCTTAAATTCAAGGTAAACACACAGAGAGGAGAAAAGAGAGAGAGAGAGAGAAAATGGTCCCGTATTGGAAATGCATAGATAACGCGTCGTCAGCCAGCCGTGTACCAGGAGTTTGTAAACGCGGCGACCTGTGAACCTGGCAGTGGTCCAGAACTCGCGTCAAGACAGAAAGAAACCACCGATTACAGCCACCCTATCTAGCGTGCCCGTACCCGAAGGGTGGATAATTATCTCGAACGTTGTCGAAATCGTCCCCTTTGTTGGGACAACGGTCCAACAACGACTCAGACGAAAAATCTACCGATAACACGCCGACAACTTGTTTATGTTTAACGAGAAACACAACGGAAAGGTATCAGTGGACTGCTCGTTCTCTTTGCGACTGGAAATTCCGCCTAATGAACCTTCCTTCTAAACCCAAATTGTGGCAACTTCACTAACCCTTCGTAGAAGAAAATTTTTTTTAATTGTAACAATTGTTTGTATAACAAATCGTATTGTATATATATTAATTTCTCGTCATTTGAATAGCTATGAAATTCATTTATAGGTTAGGATTTGAATATCGGAGTCGCCATTATGGCGGCGTTCGACCACGAAGAGTTGGCATCACGTAGAAACTTCCAATTATTCCTGATTCCAATAAATTAAATGACCAGAACATTGCTCAAAATTCCCTATGAGATGAGAGAAGCTTGAATTATCAGTCCTCGTTCGAAGTATCGTTAAATACCGAGCGAATCGACGCGTTAATCCTCAGTGATCCGGCCATTTTCGTCGATTCGCTTCATTTCAGTCGGAATAAAAGACGAATTTCGCGACTCGGAATGAACTGCGCGGCAGCGGCAATGCAAATTACGTTCCTATAGCGCAACCAACAGGGTGCAAAGGGTTAAATATCCATTTTTAACGAGCACCGATAGCGAGGAACGCGTTAAAGGGACGAAACGGGGCGCACGTTCGCCGACTCGGAAACCGCGAGTCGTCGACTCCGTGATTGTGCGGCGGCTCCGATGCCTCCTTGACCCTCTCTGACCCAAATATTTTCCCTCGCGACGGCCACCGTGCCGGATATCACCGTGGATCGCGGCGAACTCGTACGAACGACCGCTCTCCGCATAGCCATTCGTTCGACTGGACAATTAACCCTTCGACGATGAATGTCGTCGCTTTGGCGACACCAAGCTTTCATATTTAAAATGCAATCAAGTCATTTAGTCACGTAATTATGTTGGACCAATGGGCTATTCGATGCAGCTTCCGGAATTATCAGAAAAGCAATGCTAGTAAGTCTATCGTACTAATATACCTAAGTACTTACGTCAATTACCATTTGACTTGTTCAAAGACTAACGATTCTAATTTTCAATATTAAATCTTACACTTTGCGATGTCGAAATTCAAATCTATATCACCCTAAGTTACAGCGCAGCTTATCCACCACATAAACATCGTCTAATTACGTTACGAAATACTCGAGTTTGCATAAAGATCCTGCGTCCAACCACACCCCTTCGCTCCATCGAAACATCAAATCTGCCAATCCCTTTGTTTCCTCGGCCCCTGTCCGAAAGGATTCACCTGTTCTCGCGCTGGGAACCGAGTAACTCCGCGTCGCCGCCGCCAACCCACCCCCAACCTCCAAGTATACCAACCCCCGCCAGCCGGAGCGCGGAGGACACGCGTGGAACTCCCGTCGAGTACAGCTGCACTCACCGCCAATGGCGTAGAACGCTCGGCGAACGGCTGGCCGACCTTTCTCTCCCGACTTTCCGTCACCTGGTCGTTCACTGTGCAATTACACGCGTGTTTCGCGCTCGAAGATTCCCCCGAATCGTACTTGGTCAGGTGAAAATATGCGTGGTTCGTTTGCGCGACGCCGCCTCGGTCGGACAATTGATCCACGCGCTCCACTTTTCGCGGTGCTACCTTCTCGCGACTGATCCTCTAAGGAACTGCTGCCACTCGAACCCGAACTCTATACATTTTCATCGGAGACGAAAGATTTCTATGGATTTTATCAATTCCATCGATCCCCTCGAAATACCGTTTAAATCCAAATCTAGGTACTTGTCTTTAGGGTATCGGCCAGGAGAGGACCTCTCTGTTCGTCGTTGTAACGTTCTAAGAACAGATTGAAGATATATCGGTTCTCTCGCCATTAGATTTCTCGATCCTGTACATTCCGAGGTGTATCGGTTCTCCGAGAACTATGAGATCTCCGGCTTCTTCCGAGTCGAACTCCTCCGCGAGGTCAGGGTTTCGCGAAGCTACCGCGTTAATCCGAGCCATCGTCTCTGTATTTCTTGCCGTCTACTGTCAATCACGCGAGAACGAACGTTCCTCGTCCGATCAGGATCGGACAGGTCTAATCCGGCGATAGACGCGTGTCTCCTGCAGCGGGTATCCATTCGAAATTAACAGCTAGCTGACCAGTCACGAGTCGACTCGTATTTCCACAACCGACCGCACACGAATTCGGTTATTCGATCGTTCCAACGTACTATACGTAAGCAAGGTAAGCCTATCGAATTTAAACGAATAATTTTCGGACAAGACGATGGTTCGGCAAGATGTTGAGACTATCGCGAGTCACTCTAGAAGCGTTTCCCTCGAACAGATGCCGCGTTGAAAGTGACTACCCCGAAGCACCGTCCAACCGACCGTTACTTTCAGGAAAAGGTTCGCTTGCCAGAAATACCGTCGACGAGAACTCACGATAATATTACTCTAAAATGGACAGCCAACTTCAGAAGCGTGTCCCCTCCGGGCCGATCGTAATCAGTCCTAGTCGGTGTCACGAGTTTCGACGCACGGAACAGAGAAATAGGGGATGAAGGAGGAAGAGAGAAGCAGCGGGGCTGGGAAAAGAGACGGAGAGTCCGGTGGCGCACCACGCGTTCCACTTTTCACGGTGCTACCTTCTCGCGACTAATCTTCCGAGGAACTTGCGTCTGCCTTTAAAATATCGCACGGTGTCCTCGCTAGGACACCATAGAGACGACGAGTTCTCTCAAAGGCGTGTCGGTTATTTTGCTACTGCATCTCTCGACGCTGTACACTCCGAAGCGTATTACTTCTCTCGAGAACTATTAGATCTTCGGCTTGTTCCAAGCGGAACTTCTCTTCTGTGCAGTCGGAGTTTCGCGAAAAGCAACACCCTAATCCAAGCCATCGTCTCCCGACTGGTCCACACGGCGGCGAACGATTCTCGTCGAATCGGACAGGTCCAATCCAGCGATACTCGCGTGTCCCCTAAATCTAGGTGTCCATTGCAGACTGAAACCACCACCAGTATCTCCCAAGATCATTACGCGTGAACGCGGAAGCACTGTCGAAATCATCGTCACTGTCGAGGTAGCACCCTTCGTCGACCGAAAATACTTTATCCACGGATGGACACAAACGAACACCTAACCCAACAGAAACTCGCCTGCTCCAGTTGAATCCGAATTAGTCCTAGTCTCGACGAAAGTACCACGGGAATAGGGAACAGGAAAGAGACAAAGCGGCAGAGAGGATGCGAAAAGAGAAGGAGAGTCCGGTGGCGCACCATGCGTTCCACTTTCAACGATACTACCTTCTCGCGACCGATCCACAGAGCACCGAGCGATTCTCGTCCGATCGGACAGGTCCAATCCAGCGAGCACCTACACCTAGCTGTTCATTCGAAGCCGAAACCATCGGCAGTCTCCCTGGACACCCCCCCTCGCGAACATTAAAACCGACTAGCTCGGAACACCGTCCGTCCGATCGTCACTATCGAACCAGCATCCTCCGCGAACGGAAAGTACTTTTACTCACAAATGGACAGCCGAGCCAAGAAACTCGTCCCCCGCGGTCCGAACGCGAGCAGCCCCGCCGAAGGTAACACGGAAACAACGGAGAGAAGACGGAGAGAAAGCAACAACGGTAGAGGGAAAAGAGAGGGACAGTCCGGTGGCGCACCACGCGACCGCAACGATCATCGAGCAAGAGAGAGGCGCGCAGAGTAGGGCGGCAGGGGGGCTG